AAAAATGAACGAACTTTTTTTAATGATTTATTAACTATGGTGGTTGTGCATTGAATTTTAACTGCCAATACGAACTTTCTTAATCAATAATAATTTTACTTTTAATGCAAATGAAATTTCCTTATCAGTGAAAATTTAATGCTTACTGATATTTAAATAAAACATGATTTTATTAAGGAAAAACGAGATACATATCATATTTGTTTTATGCACGAAAGGATCATCTCCGTCCAACTTTTTTCAATGTATTTGAGCAATAACATGGACAACAGAGCTTGTAAACATACCAATCGGAATGAGAATGTATTAGTAATAGAAACTATCAAAATATTTTTTATACATATACTAAAACAACAAAAACGTACTCTCGTATTCTTTTTTATTTTTGCTGCTTACTGCTATTTTTCAGTAATCAGTAAAAATTTACTGCTTACTGGTATTTTCCAGTAGTCAGTAAAATTTAGTGTTGACTACTATTTTTCTCAGTAACCAGTAATCGTTTACTGGTAATGCAAGGTAAATTTCATTATCAGTGAATATTTATTGATTACTGCTGCTTTTTTCAGTAATGAATAAATGTTTACTGGTAATGCAAAGTAAGTTTCATTATCAGTACAAATTTACTGGTTACTGCATTTTTACTGGTAATGCAAAGTGCCCATCTATGTTTTTGTTATTAATCTTATATATTAAAATAAGTGCACGTTTTTGGTATGACCTCATAACTTGAGAACGGCTTCACCNTGGCATATGTATGTATCTTATGTATAAAAATAAGTACACGTTTTTGGTGTGAGCTTATAACTTGAGAACGGCTTCACCGAATTCAACTAAATTTATACGGCATATTCAGGCTATCATGCAGATAGTTTATGTGAAGTTTGCCCTAATTCGTAAAAGGGGGTGTGGCACCTCTCACACTAACTAAAATTTTTGTTGTATATCTCTTGAAATATTTGTCGTACAATACTGGAAATTGGTATAGAGGTATATCAAATAATTCCATACTCATGAAGAAAAATGGGCGTTATTGGAAAAGAGGGCATGGCACCTCCCATCTTATATATAATAATAAGTGCAAGATTTCAACCAAATTTATACGGCCTAGTCGGGCTATTATGCAGATGGTTTGTGTTAAGTTTCCCCGAATTCGGAAAAGGGGGCGTGGCACCACCCATACTAACAAAAATTTTCATCTGGTATATCTCTTGAAATATTTATGGTAGATTACTGAAAATTGGTATAGAGAGATATGAAATAATTCCATACTCATGGAGAAAAACTGTGCGGTATTGGAAAAGGGGGTGTGGCACCTCCATCTTAAATAAAAAAAGAAGTGCACGAATTCTACCAAATTTAAACGGTATATTCGTTCCGTTCGGTTCATGATATATGACAGTTTATGTCTGTCACATGAACCACGTATATGGTACAACAGCAGATATAGGAAAAATCGAAAACATAGTGGAAAATAGTTGCTATGATGTGCTGTGTTTATTTTTTCTTCGGATAAATTAAGTTAAGTATAAACATGGCTGCAATATAGTAAAAAAAATATTCATATAGAAAAATTTCAGGATTTTTCAACAATTTTTTTCAATATTTGGTGTAGAGAAGCACACCGGGATTCCGCTAGTTCTATAAATAAAATGCGAGATGGAATTTTTTGTCCAGGTCATCAGAACAGCACCGTTCGTCGGATTTTCAAAACGGAGGTGTCAAATTAAAGGGCTTGCGCCAGTGTGCAAACCTCTTCCACATATGTATGTGGTAGATCTATCACATATTTTTTAAACTTTTGGATTTCTACCACATCTATCACACAAGGCCTAAAACCTACAACAGTTTTAGACAGAAAATTTGTTTAAAATTTTCACAAAACTCTAAAATTTTAACTCAATTCTAATATNGTGTCAAATTAAAGGGCTTGCGCCAGTGTGCAAACCTCTTCCACATATGTGGTAGATCTATCACATATTTTTTAAACTTTTGGATTTCTACCACATCTATCACACAAGGCCTAAAACCTACAACATTTTTAGACAGAAAATTTGTTTAAAATTTTCACAGAACTCTAAAATTTTAACTCAATTCTAATAAAAATATAAAAACTAATTAAACTTAAAAAGATACATCATAAATTTGGCTTTAAATATATCAGTGCCTTAACTCTTTAATATTGCAATCCTCATATTTATATTTGCTAAAATATTATGCAATGGAAAGGAGTTCTTTGTTCCATCCTATGGTTAATAAATACGCAAAAATATAAGTTTGTTAAAGCGTCGTATATGTTATCAACTTAATAAAATTAGACATTTATGTGCGGTAAAACACTTACAAACACTTAATTCTTAATTACATACTATTTGCACAGAGGCGTAACTATAGGGCGGCAAGGCTGGCAGAATGCCACTGGTCCCCGATCCGAGAGGGGTTCTAATTTTTAATAATTTATATAGTTATAATTTTTTTAAGTACTTAAAATAAATTAAAGCGAGATAACTAAAGACCATATATGTACATACAGCAGCGGTCAAAATAATAGCAGTAAAATTCGAAATGATATTGTTGGCAGCTCATGTTTATTTATTTATTTTTAATAATTTTCATTTAATATACAGCTCGATCAATAACAGAAACAACAGAAATAAAAATTTTAAAACTTTCACAAAGTTCAAAAAAGTTAATCAAACTTCAAAAAATGTTCCTCAAAATTCCAAATTTTTTATTATTATTATTATATTTTTTAAAAATAGATTTTGTTCATACGTTACATGGAACAAAATGCTGAATGCCCCTAACAAAAAAATGCTACTGAAAATCTAAAAAATCAACTGAAATTTTTAGAGACTTAAACTTGCACTTTATTATACTAAAATTGAATGGGCTACAGTTTGCATACTCGAAAATTGTCTAAACGTTCTGAATAAAAAATTTGAAATTTTGATGAACATTTTTTGAAGTTTAATTAATTTTTGTGAACTTTGTGCAATTTTTGAAATGTTTATTTCTATGGTTTCTGTTATAGATCGAACTATCTTTTAAATGAAATTTTACTGCTATAATTTTGACCGCTGCTTATGTATGTATGTGTGTATGTACTGCATTAATTTTACTTGTTCCAATTTCTCGAACGCTCATTTTCGAAACTAAAATTAATAAAAACCTAAAGACACTATCAGAATCACCAGTTAATTCTAAATGGTTTTTACTTCATAACAACCGAATTTATTATTTTTTTTAAGTATACATGGGTGTAAAGTACACTCACACCACACATCACCAAAATAACTATTTTATATTTATATATACTATTTTTTATTAAAAGTATATGTGCATTAAAAACACATTTCCAAATCTAAAAACAAACTCTGCTCAATGTAATATATAAAAATCTCTTGTCACCTTGTTTGGTGTAGGTATGAGAAACGGATGTAAAGTATATTTCATACCGCTAGGTGCAGGGGGCGTGGCACCTCCCATACAAACCGAATTTTTAATATTGCATATCTCTGGAGTGTTCATGGTAGAGTACTCGAACATGGAGTCGCATACTCATGGAGAAAAATTGTGTTATTGGAAAAGGGGGCGTGGCACCTTCCATACAAACCGAATTTTTCATACTGCATATATCTGGAAGTGTTCATGGTAGAGTACTGGAACATTCATACTGCATATATCTGGAAGTGTTCATGGTAGAGTACTGAAACAATCACATGCTATTGGAAGAACGGGCATGGCACCTCCCGTACAAACCGAATTTTTCATATTGCATACTTCTGACAGTGTTCACGATAGAGTACTGGAATTTGGTATGGAGATATATGAAATCAGTCAAATGGTCATAAAGAAAAATTAGGTCTATTGGAAAAAGGGGTGTGGCACCTTCCATATAAACCGAACTTTTCATACTGCATGTTCATACCGCTAAGTGAAGGGGGCGTGGCACCTGCCATAGAAACCGAGTTTTTCATACTGCATATCTCTGGAAGTGTTTATGGCAGACTACTGGAACTTGGTATGTACAAGATATGTAAAATAAATCGCATAGTCATGAAGAAAAATTAGGGCTATTGGAAAAAGGGGCGTGGCACCTCCCATATAAACCGAATTTTTCACACTGCATGTCTCTGTTTATGATAGAGTACTGGAACTTGGTATGGAGATATATAAAATCAATCGCAGTCATAAAGAAATATTGGGGCATTTGGAAAAAAGGGCGTGGCACCTTACAAACCAGATTTTTCAGACTGCATATCTCTGGAAGTGTTCTTGGTAGAGTACTGGAACTTGGTATATACAAGATAGAGTACTCGAACATGGTGTGGAGATATATGAAATCAATTCCATACTCTTAGAGAAAATTGGGGCTATTTAAAAAGGGGCGTGGCGCCTTTTAAATGCACTATTACGTATCTTTGTATGCAAATATGTACACTTTTGCTAAGTTATTTAAGACGGCAATGGAAATATGCCTTAAAAAGTAATATTAGCAGATAAATGCGTCACTGTAAATCATGAACGTGAACTGTTGGCGAAAATGTTGAACCAAAATGTTTTAATATAAAAGATTCATTTTGGCGGGACGAAGTTCACCGGGTCAGCTAGTAATTTATAAAATGTGTACTACTGTATTGTTAGAATTATCATTATACGATTTTGCATCCATTTATGTATTTGAAACCCAGAAGTCTCAGGAGCCCGATGTGATATACGTACATATCAGCGCCGTTGAATTATCGTAGCCTAAGTCGGGATAGGCCCTTTTCCTTTAAAGCAACATTGCATTGGGTTCCCAAACAATATCTTAACCTTTAAAGCCATAGGTCCAGGATGTCCTTTAGAAGCTTAATGGAAATATAAAAAATTTCAAATGAAACTGGTTATTTTTTAATTTAAAGTCAAACCTTCTAAAGTAACTTAAGCTACTTTAATTGAACGGCAGAGGTATGTATTTAAATATAAGCAGTATGAGGCAAACAAGGTTTTTTACTTACCCACAACTCAAGATAAACGGGCTTTTGGAAAAGTGGGTTTTTGCTTGCAATCACATAGTCCAATTCTGTACCGCGTTTTGCGTTCTGGAATATATACAGAAATAATAAAAATAGAAAAAATGTAATGATATTCCTAATCTATACTAATATTTGTAGGTTTAGTTTTTATTATTCAGAAAACGAATTTATGTATTGAGTTAAATTTACTTAATTTAATGCAAGTAGGTTTTTAAAATAATTAAGCGGACAATAAAATGAATTGAATTAATAATCGTCGCGCACGCCGTCTCAACAACTGTTGAGTCTCCTCCTCTTACTTCGCTCGGTCGCTCGGTAGTCAGTTGCGCTTGCTCGGCATTAGGGTTATCATCCCACAACTCGGCCATCCTGCTAAGAATTCGTCTCAAATGCGTCGTCAACCATGTCATTATCTGACCCCGGCTTCATGTGTTCTGCTCAAGTTGTCGTTCGTTTGGAACCTTCGCCTTCGCCGACTCGAGAATCATCGTACGTGTTGTTTGCTTTCACTTTTACCACGCGGTAAGGGCCCAAAAATTTTGGTTAAAGTTTTAGCCCTCCACCAAACTGTGTGCGTTTAATTGCCACAAGATCACCATTTTTGTAGCGGGTAGCTGGATTTCGACGAAGATTATACGATTTTCGATTTTTGTCTTGTATTTTAAGTATTGGTTCTTTCGCTTGCTTACGCAATATTTCTCGGCCGGCACTATGGATCGAGCTAGTACAAAGGCTGATCATAAATAACATATGCAGGGGCGGATCCAGCGGGGGGCTTTTGGGGGTTAAACTATGTGTCAGTCAGTGGCGGACCCACGGGGGTGGTTTAGTACATAGACGCCATATTATAACTACATACATATGCGCCATATTAAAACACACTCCGTGCGTCCGCCACTGACTGACACGTAGCTTAACACCCAAAACCCCCCGCTGGTCCGCCACTGAGCATATGTAAGTGTTTGGTATCTTTCTTTAGGGAATAAAGCATGCTTTAATGATCTGATAATTTTTTGTATGTTTATTTAATGAAATAAAGTAAAAACTGCTTAAGAAATTGACATATTCAAATTTTTGAAATTTTTACTCGCAACGCAGTAATTTTCAGATCCGCAGTTTAGGAATTTTTTCGTAGCAAGGACCTATTAAGAAATACGGACTTGAGTTACATGATATATTCAGATTTGAAATGAGCTATAAATATTTTATTTTGAAATAACAGGTAGCAGCAATACCTTTTTTAATAAAACGCAAATTTTGTTCCGTTTTTTTTTAATTTCGATGAAGGATTCGAAGGTTTTCGCCGCTTGGTTATGTTTGATCTTGAATTCATTAAAAGCACGAAAAATCCACCTACTACACGGAAAAAAGTTTGCGCAAGTTTGCGCCATTTGAAGTTATGATGTTTTAAGTGACACTACGTGCGAATGCGGGATTTCAGCCGCTATTAGTATCACTGGACCCTAACAAAAAACAATTTACATATATATTCGAAAACTAGACAAACGCCCCTTTTACCTGATGTTTAACTTGTGAGATTTTAATAAATTTTAGAAAAAATTTCCTTACACCATGGATACGGAATTACCAAGAAATACGAGTTTATTAGATTTCCAATATTTTACAATGGGAGTAAATAAAGATAAAAAAGTTAGCTGCCTACTTTTAAGGATATATAAGGCCGCACAATATAGTATGTACAATTACCTGCAATTCACACCGAACTTTTGGGGAATACGCAATAAACTGCCCGTATCAGCATGCAGATGTTTCTTAACCATTGTGAATTGCAGGTACCAATACCAATTTTCCACAGTTCCAGTACCCACAATGGGTAAGGCGCTCGTTTTCGAAAAAAAATATGTCCAATTACTTGCCAGGTACTGGAACTGTGGAAAATTAGTATTGTTACCTGCGATTCAAAATTGTTAAGAAACATCTACATACTGATCAGACCTGAAGACGAAAGCTGTTTCCATTATGGATTATCAACATTAAATGCCTGGATTAGATGCATGGCGATGATTTTGCACATATCTTATAACCTTTCTTTAAAAAAATGGTGTGCTAGAAATGAAGTCCACAAAAGGACAAAAGAAGAAAAGAAAACTGCGGTGCAAAGACTTTATCGAGAAAAGCTGGGATTAATCATAGATAAGCCACGGCAAGTAAGTGGCAACTCCAATGATGGAAATACAGCAAGAAGACTTTTTTCGAATGCCACTTGTTCTGATGAAATAACTGGAGTTGATGAAGTTCTGATACAGAGACTGTATATCATTCTATAAACTTTATCTTCGGGTGTTATGACTGATGGTTAAAAGTTTGGCGTTTATGCATTGGAAACAGCAAGAATATATGTCAACAAATACAACTGGTATTATATGACATCCTCGGTGCACAAGCTCACCATGGAGAGAGTGTTATAAAACATTTTGCTGTATTACCAATCGGACAACTTTCAGAAGACGCACAAGAGTCCCGCAACAAAGACTACAAGAAACTTAGGCTACATCATGCAAGAAAACACTCAAGATTGGCGACAAACGAATATATCTTCCGTTCATTATTGTATACATCCAGTGTTGGCACTAATCGATTGATTTTTTAATCAATTAGTTAATTTGATTACATTCAATCGAATTACAGTTAATCATGATTTAATTTAATCTGATTAAATAGTTAATCGTAACCGTGATATAAAAAATAAATTTTTAATCATTAACCCTTAATTTGATTAAGTAGGTTTGGTTATTAATTAATTTATGCTGGAATTGTCCTTTGCACACAAGGCCAGTTAATCGGGTATGGCTAAGTCGGTTTCCCTCATCAATCTAAGCAATTTGGTATGCATTTTGATTGTGATCTATTGCCAGCAGACGTTATGAAAACTAGGTTTTATATCTCTCTGCACATGTGCCATGGGTTTTCAAACTTCCCAGTTTAAGTTATACAAATTATAATTATTATTTGTTTATATCAGTATTATGTGTTTTTCATAAGCGTCAAACAAAAAAGAATAATCGTATATGGTGTTTGATTTAAAATGCAGACAAACGAGACCACTTAATCAGATTTTTTTTTAATCGGATTACCGATTGATGATTAAAATTAATTACCTTAATCACAACCGACGAATAACGATAAAAAAATTTAATCATTAATCATACAGATGATTACGATTAATTAATTTTGATCGTTTATCGCGATTAACATTTTAATCGTTAATTTTTAATCGTTAATCAGATTAACATTTTGCCAACACTGTATACATCAGATCCACACATAACAAGCATTCACAAGTCATACGCAAGAATCAACAAAGAACTTGACGAAGATGCTCTAGGCCTGTTGAAAATAAGTGAACTCATTCCAGACTGTGAAGCGATTGACACCGCAAATAAATGAAGTATTTTGATAAATGTATTTTTAATATGTAAAACATATACTATTTTTAGTCAATAATTTTTAGAAAACGATAAGCTTTTTTCAAAGCTCAATTTGGTAAATATACTATTTAAAATTCATTTTATTAGGTTGTTTATATGTATGTG